AGTTAAAATAAAAGCTAGGTGTTACAAGCACAGGTAGGAAATAGGCTAGCTTTTATAAGGTCTGTCTAAACGGCTATTGTAAAATAACATAGAGAATTATTAAGTGTTGAACCTTGGGCTGGCTAAGCACCTCTCTCAACTGTGATAAAGGACGATCTCAATTTACAGTTGTGGTATCACTGGCAACTCTTTTTTTTAATGCACTACTTTTAAACTGAATTTTATGGCATGTATGCCTAGGTCAACTAAGCTACATGCTTACAGCATTGCAGAATGAAGTAATGGTTGAACACGTGGTGCCGCCTGCATGTTCTCTGAATTTTTGCTGATACGCTGAACTTGAATTATCAGTTAGAGAAAGCCTGAGTATGTTTGCGAGTGGTATCATATCACTTAGCCCTAACATAGAATGGATAATTGAAACTGTGTTGACTCGGTCCCATCTAATCCGCGCTGTCACCTCAGTAAGATTAAAATCAGAGGAGGCTTCAAACTTGGGCGTTCCTGGGACAGGGTTCAGACTGAGCTGGATGGCTCCAGTCAGCAGCAGGTGTCTGCAACAGCTGAGGTTCGGCTTGGGATGGACCTAAGGGGGCATGGTGTCTACTATTCTTCCCCTGGCTGGAATGTTGTATAGATATTTTCTGGTCTACTGTAAATTCTATTACCCTCCAGACTCCAGGGATTGATAGGTAGCCTGTTCCAATGCTTGATGATCTTTAATACCTAGAACTTTCTCCCAGTATTTATCCTTAGTCACTTGTACACTGAGCAGATGAATTCTGCTGTGTGTTCCTGATTTTCTATTTGGGCATTTGATTTTTCTTTCCCGTCTATAGTATTTCATATGTGTTCTTGGCGTGGTTTTTGGAACATTTTTCCAGTTTATAGAGATTATTTTAAACTTTTATCCTGTGAGTGTTTGCAGACTCTTCTGCCTGTTATCATCTAGAAGTTTTGCAATTTACTCTGTTTCATTGTCCAAGTCACGACTGAATATGTAGAAATGACCTGTATCCAGGACAAGTTATGATTTGACAGAGGACTGTTAATTAATAATCTGAGTAAAATTTATACTATTGTCATCTGGGCTATGTTCCTCTGTTATGACAGTGTCACATAGGGCAATGTCAAAAGGCATATTAGAGTTAAGATGTTATATCCACTATTTTCCTTACACTTACAAGGCCAGTTCATAGAATCATAGTTAACTCATCAAAGAAGAAAACCACACTGTGCTGATGGATTCACGATGATGTTCTCTATTACTCACTTAATGTTTGTTTAGTAATTTGTTTTGTTGTCTGTCTGGGCACCTGTAATTTCTGAGATTCACCTTTTTACCAGCTTAAAACCAGAGATTGGATGTGCCTCCAAGGTTTCTGTCTTGAATGAATTGTTGAAGATAATCATTAGCAGTTACAAGGTTTGCCTGGGCTAGTTCCTTTGAGGCACTCTAAGGTAAATTTCAGCAGGGTCTGCTGACTTGAATATATTAAACTTATCAAATGTCTTGTAGTTAGTTCTTTGCATTTTCTGGGTCATATTCCTATGACGCATTTGTTGTCTTGTTTCTGAGAAGTCTCAGTGTTTATTTAAAAGGCCAGGAGGTCCCTAGCATACAGGTTCACCGGAGGAAAGCCTCCCAAGTACCGAGTGAGCAATGTCTGACTTCAGTTGCAGGCAACCTGAAACAGGGTCTTTGGAGGATATATGATCTGTTCTGTTCAACTTTGATTTTGAAATAAAAGTAAGTCTTTAGCTGTCATAACTGAAAGAAAAACTTTAAACTTGAGATACAGTTAATGCAAAAATTTATAAGCCTATGAAGAAACTGGAAATAAAAAGTGAACCACCCTATTTGTGTTAACCACAGGGATTGCTGCGAAGTGGTGTACAAAAGCCAAGGGCCAGGGGAGAAGGGCCCAGAGAAAGCCCTCTTGAGCATGGTGAGACCAGTTTGTTTTACAGAGCCTCTTTCTGCATTTAGCGGAGTGCATAGAAGAAAAATTTAGGTGGAAAATGACTCTTGGCAAAATGAAAATTTTATTAGAGACGTCTGTTTTCTATTAAGTAGCTGAGGGTTTTGTTGTTGTCCTTTTGAGAAGAGGGAGGGGGTTTTGTGCACTTTGTCAGTGGAAGCACTTACTTTCAAATTTAGATTTTTTTTTTAATTTATTTTTTTTTAGCTAAAATTAATTTGCAATGTTTTCTCTCACATTTTTCATGAAAAACTTGAGCAATAAGTAATAATTTGACTGACTGACTTCTCTAGACTTTCAAGTTCAGATTCCACCTTCTTGTGCTTAGTCTTCTGCTTGAAGTGCTCGCTGAAGTATAGCTTCACCCGCTTTGAGGTGGGCTTTAGCAGGACGGTGCCATGGCCATCAGGGTACAGTTAGTGTCGGGGCTGCGTGCCCTGGCATCTGGAAGCTCTGCTTTTGGCCACGGTGAGGTACAGAGCAGTGCTTTCTCTGGTGGAGGAAACTAAGAAAAGGCGACTGATGTCAAATGAGAGTGTAACAGGTTAGGCCTCAGCCTGTTGTTGGAACTCGGACTGACCCAGACTTCGCAATCTATTCAGTGAAGACATTGCAATTGTAGATTGGCTTTCATGGGCTCAGGGTTTTACGATTCTCTGTATTTCCTGAGTTACCGTGTAGAATTTTTTCCGTAATTAGCAAGGTGTCAGTTGAGAGTAGAGGTTTGGCCTCTGGCCAGCAGGGTCTCGGTATTCGTAGCTTCGCATTTTAAAACGAACGAAGCATATAAGCAGACAGTGTGTTTCTTAAGGTACCGTGTGCTCACAGATGAGCAGTTCTATCTGCCTTCATTCCTGTCCAGTTTCAAAATAAATAGTTCAATGATAATGTGCTTTTTCAAAACAGAAAATGGGAGGGCCCTTTCTCCTTTATTTCACAGACCTGAGTAGCGCTCTGAAATGTGTTCCTCTGCGATGGTACAGTAGATGATGCCTAAAGGAGTTTAAATAATGTTTACACATTAGTGAGACATTGCCCTCAGGAGCCTTTAACAAGATGGTTTCTTTAGAGGAGCTTTCAGTCTACTTCCTACTGATCCCTGCCCTAACGTCTACCTGTCAGTGGCTGAACTATGGTAATACTGGAGGTAGGAAAGGGGAACAGTTAGATTTCCAAGTGCATGTTTTCCAAATGTCATAGCAGCCCACCGGTCTTCGCTCCTATTGCTAACTTAGCCTGAAATACGAGGTATCTTGTTGTTCTGCTGTTGTTCTTTCGCCTGTGTTTTTTTATTTTATCTTATTTTTGCAAGTTTGGACCCAGAGTCTTAGCCAGGATATTAATAACAATCAGACTTCTAAGTGTAAAGGATTAAAGGCTGATCTACCAAGTTAGAAATGTTTTTTGATTTATCCAAAATAATTGCATTCTTTCTCGCAAATTATTTTTTCTTTCCTATCTAAACTTACAATTGTAATTGTGAAGAGAAACAGGAGATAAAACAGTAGGTGTGTTCTAGGGTTGTGTATTACTGTACTGGTTATCCCAAATTCTCATTTCATTTCCCTGAAAGTCTCTACTGCTCTGTGTTGAGATTGGGAGGGTTAAAAAAAATTTAGGGAGGGGACACTCCCACCTGATAAATTCCTGTGTATCCTTAATTTCTAAATTAATAGGAACAACAGAAACAACAAAAGTCTACCCAGGAACTTTATTCATGCTAATTTTTTCTTAAGAAAGAAATTTGGTTCTTAATTGTTAATTAGGAAAAGTGGATATTGGAAAAAGTTCAAAATAATAAGATTCATGTAATAGTGTTGAGTAGGTAGGGCAGAGTAGTGCATTTATTTACCATGTAGGTTATCACATATGTTGGTTCTTTACCCTGTTCTATACTGTTGCTTTTTGGGGGGAACCAGTCCTGGACCCAGATAATTGCAGTGTTATTAATTTAGAAAGAGGCTTTCAAATGGAGATAAGGGGTGGGAAAAGAATATTTTCTTGCATGGTAAGCTATTTAGGATAGGGGCTTTCTTTTGCATCACACAAGGAAATGATGTTCTGTTTCTTGTGGAGTTGCTTGACCATTGTTTCAATGCAAAGCAGTAATGGGAATGTTAAGCATAATCTGTTTTATCTATGCCTCTGAGTCTGAAGTCATCCTGTGCCACTAGAAGGGAATATAAAAGCTCCGCTGTGTATAACTTTAGCATAGTTTGCCAGAATGACCGCAGTATTGTGTTTATACTGTGCAGATTTTCATGCAGATACATTCTTGGCTGATAGCTGAGTTGCTGGCCTGGAGAAACAGTTGACAGCTTTTCATCCTTAACCCCAGTCTTTGATTTGCCTAGTTTTGCTAGTCCTTCTAGATCAGTTTTCATTTCCAGGAAAAGTAAAAAAAAAAAAAAAACCAAAACAAAAAACACACAAAAAAACCAACCAAACATTTGATGTGTTTGGCAAATACTTCTTGCACAGGCCTATTTATTCTAAAACTGTAGTACATGTGCTTCCCAATATGGTATTGTTGAAATGCAGCAACTGTGACACTGATCACAAGGGTATTTTAACCTAAAGGACCTGGGCACTGCTCTTGAGAACAGGGCCAGGAACTACTTGTGACACAGAGATAGAGACTTAGGGACTTCTTATCCTCAGGTCTCAAGTACAGTAAAATGTATTCTGTATAATCTTTGCATACATTTCTCTTGCATTATTTCTTCTGGAAAAGTACTTTGTCTCTCCAACTTTCATGGAACCACTAGGCCTTTCTTCTGGCTGAGTGGTCAAATAACCAGATCACCAGAAGACACCTGTGTTCAGTTTTCTGTGCTTGCACTGGAAGCTACTGGAGAGCAATGCCTCATACCATGTTTATACTGTGGCTATCACGGCAGATTCAGTTGCCTAACATTAGTGCTCATAAGCAGGTTAACATAACTTTGCAAAGAGCTCAAGTAACCCCTAATGAAGCTTTCTCT